TTCTCTGGGTGATGGACTATATGTTGAAATAACCTTTCCCTCCCCAAGTTGCTTTGGTCATGGTGTTTCATCACAGCAATAGCAACCCTGGCTAAGGCAGCCTTTGGCTACATCTGTCCACGGGTCCATTCCTCAACAATGAGCTTTGAGCCACGCATTGTATTTTTACTGCTGAGCACCGCGTTTCTATCTTAGTTCATGTTCTGTCTCCTTCCCAAGTAGTCTCCAGAAAGTTCTGTGAAAGTCAGCCTTCTCAGTCTCACACAAATTTGCTGCTACACCTCACCAGTGCATAGAGAACATAACGTGAGAGGCAATCTCTGCGGACTGTGTTCAGCTTCCTTTAACTTAGAACCCTTTGATACAGTGCAGCTAAATGTCTTAGTAGCCAACTGGATATTTCCATCTATTTTCCCTCTCTGCTCTGGTCAGTTTTCATCTTTATCCCCCCCCCCCCCCCCCCCCCCCCCGTTGCCTGAGGTGCTTACTTTTCAGCTGATGCACAAGCAGTTTGAATTATAGCTTTATATTTAGGTTTTCTTTTGAAGAGCTGTTTTCAAAGTCCTCTCATGTTTGAGTATCATGCCAATAGTCTTCATTTCATTTAAATATTTATATATTTGAAAAATATTTAAGCCAAAACACATTGTCGAGGAAGCCAAGATTTTACGTCTGGAAACTTAACTGCCATCTTTATACCATCCAGTCAGCTCTTTTTTTCTGCATGTCTGGTTGACAGTTCCTTGATGCTGTTGGGGCCGTTTTGCCCCCCCTGGAGGAGAAGTCCTTTTCTTTGCCTATATTGCAATGGGATTATACTCAGCTCTGTTGATCATCTCGACTTTTAAATTCATTTTAATATCTTTTTGTTTGCATGGTTCCTACCCTCTTATTTGTTCACTTCCTTGTTCTCTTTCCATAACTCCATTTACTCATGCCAATTTGTTGACTTAGGGCTTATTACTAGGAATAAAAAAATGGGAGCTTGGCATTGTGAGGGAGATGGAGTGGGAACCCTACGGAGAGTTGGAGGAGGTGGTGGTGGACAGTGATGATCAAAATACATTTTATATGTGTATGAAACTTTCAAGGAATCAAAATATTATTATTATTATTTTTGTAGGTACAAATATACATTTTATTCTCTTATTTTCTACATAAATTGTCATGTCATTGACCTGAATTAGCTTCACCAGAGAAACATAAGAAATAATATTCAAACTCATATATGAACGATTTACTACTGGTACTGTTTGGATAATTGCTAAACATTTTTAAATTTCCTATTACTAGCAAAGGGCATACATGTGTCAAAATATTATTTTTAAAATGATTTATTCCTAGACATGAACTTTAGGATTTTTTCCTGGTGTCTCCCATGACACTCCATTGGATCTTACATTATTAATTTTCTTAGAAGGGGCGGCTGGTGAAACAGAATCCAGAAGTTATATAAGGAAGCAAATAGTAGCACCATAGGAATGCAGAGTCATGCTCAACTGTATGGCAGAAAAACAAACCCAATGGATGGAGACAAAGAAAAATACAAAGGAGAAGAGAAAAGATGGCACCCATACGAAGGAGAATGTGAGTCACTGCTGGGCCTTAGGAACCGGTCACCAGCAATTGCCTGAGGTGGCCTTGGGGACGCTTAGTGAGCTGTGAACCTATCAGCAAACCTTATTAGAAGAAATCAGGGCAGACAAATACCTTGATACATTCTGACACTCTGGTGAACAGATAGAATTCCAAGGACAGCAAAGGAACCCTAAGATATTTGATAGGGAGAATACAAAACAAAACAAAACCCCCAAGATACAGTGGAGGGGGAGGAGATCAGGGTAGTTTCAGATTCTTTCTATAACACTAGTTTAGGACTGTTCATGGAACACTGAGACAGCTGGGAGGAAACAGCCCACTCATAAATTCTATACCCAGCCAAACTGTCACTTAGAGTTTGAGTAACTTGGGTAGGGTATATCTTTCTGTCACAGAAGAAAACAAACCATATTTATTATAGGAAACAAAACCATGCTATTAGACTTTTTTTTTTT